CTCTCTCTCTCTCTCTCTCTCTCTCTCTCTCTCTCTCTCTCTCAGGCCCCATCTACGTTTCAGACCGTGCTCCCTGTGAAACTGAGCTTCCTCGCGTCTGCGCAGTGTCCCACCACACTGGAAAAGAAACCCTGCTGTAGCCAGGCCCCTATCACAAACACACAAAATACAATCCAACTCGGCCAAGTTCCCGGTTTACCTCGTCTGACAAACTCATCGTCCTAGACTTGTATGGCACAGAAGCAGACCCTTCAGTCCACTCGTCCACGCCAACCAGATATCCTAAATTAATCTAGTCCCATTTGCCAGCATTTGGCCCATATCCCTCTTAAACCCCTTCCTATTCATGTACCCATCCAGATGCCTTTTAAATGTTGTCATTGTACCAGCTTCCACCACTTCCTCTGGCAGCTCATTCGATACACGCACCACCCTCTGCGTGAAACGGTTACCCCTTGGGTCCCTTTTTAAATCTTTCCCCTCTCATCTTAAACCCATGCCCTGTAGTTTTGGATTCCCGCACCCTGGGGAAAAAGACCTTGGCTGTTCACCCTATCCATGCCCCTCATGATTTTATAGACTTGGCTGAAAAGAAAATACTCACTGCGTTTCCGAATGTAATGTTGTTCTCGAGCGATGGCAGAAAAGAGGGACGATTTGCCGGCTTACGACTCCCTCTACCTGAGACTTAGTTTTAAAAAAAAACACCCTGTTCATAAATAGACATGACATGGACCCTGAGTGCGGTGGAGGCGATGGCTTAGTGGTATTATCGCTGGACTGTTAATCCAGAGACCCAGATAACATTCCGAGGACCCGGGTTCAAATCCCACCATAGCAGATGGTGGAATTTGAATTCAATAAAAACACTGAAATTAAGAATCTAATGATGACCACGAATCCATTGTTGGTTGTCAGAAAAACCCATCTCGCTCACTGATGTCCTTTTACGGAAGGAAACTGCCATCCTTACCTGGTCTGGCCTACATGTGACTCCAGACCCACAGCAATGGGGTTCTTAACTGCCCTCTGGGCAGTTAGGGATGGGCAAGAAATGCTGCTCTAGCCAGTGATATCCTTATCCCGTAAATGAATAAAGGGAAAGAAAAAAGTTGTCTGAAAATGTCAGGGAAACGCTGGTCTGAGCCACAGAATTTGATGAGTTCTCTCTCGCTTCTTTCAAATTGCTTCTTGGTCTTTGCCGCTGAGACGAGATAGTTTGCATTGTCACTGGTTGAGAATCTGTTTCCCTGCCTCCCCTCTGCGTTTGAAGGTAAAGATTTCTCCTTTTCCTCTCTCTCTGCAAGTGCCCTTATTGTGAGAGAGAGACAAATGGAAGCCAGCAAGCAGTCAGTTAAGGCTTTGTGATACATCGAGTCAGGGAAAACAAAGAGAGAGATTTCTTTGTCTCGCTGGCTTAGTGTTTCTCTGCTGTTCTGGCCCCACACAAGCTGTGGCTCCCTGGTCAGGAGCCAATGAAAATGTTGTTGTCAAACAGTCATTCCTCCAGGAAATGAGGGAAATGCAACTCCGTGTGCTCCAACAAACATGATTTGTAAAACTGTAACAGTCTCCTTGCACAGTCTCCTTGCACAGTCTCCTTGCACAGTCTC